CACTTGTGTACCTGTTAGCTACTTTAAACAAAGATATTCAGATGGCTTCTTCAACATTAAGAAGACCGTTGGTAAAATGGCTGTCTTAGATCTTGACATCTCTTCATCAGTCATATGGATCTGACAAAATAAAGCAGAGCTGGGACAATTAGTCGATTCATTGATTAGTTCCCAACTATTAAATTAATTACCAACTAGTTTTTGAAGAAAAATTCTGATTTCAGCTTCTCAAATGTTCATATGTTTTTTTTTGTCCTCTGTGTCAGTAAACTCAATGTCTTTGGGTTGTGGACAAAACAAGACCTTTGAGGACGTCACCTTGGGCTTTAGGAGACAAGAAGAACCAAAGACCAAAAAACAAATTAGGGGAATGATCGACCAATTAACTGATAAAAACAATAATCATGAATTGCAGCCCTAAAATAAAGTTGTTAATTTTAGGTCCGCGTTGGCCTTCATGTTAAACCAAACTTAAACAAAGACAACTGCAAACCCGCCACATGCAGTCCGGTGAAACAATGCTTCGACTGTACGTACATTGTGAGGGGATTTAGTTACATGTGCAATCATCTCAACAAAGCATCTGGAAGCCATCAAACCCACCATCTTCAAAGAGTACAGAGGAAACAGCACGAGTGCTTTGGGTCAGTTTGGCAACAGAAGCATCACCTTGCTAGTATCCTAATTAAAATCCTAATTACTGTTTTATTATTATAATCAAATGTAGAGTCATTTGTCCTGGACTTGCAGCGACTTGTCAGCACATACTAAAACTATAGGAAAAAGTTTCAAATGTTGAAAATTCAACATGACGTCTTAATTAAGGGACATTTACAACATAAGCAATCACTAAGAGAGCAATAAGAATTATAATTACACTATTGATAACAAAGGAAATTAGTAGTACAATCGTTTAAGCCAACTGGCTGATAATGATCTACCATGACACAAGTTCATTTTAAATGATTGACCAACCTCTCAAAGTGCACGGACCATTTGCTTTTCAGAAGACCTATGCCCCAGAATGCGCACACACACACTCCTGAAGTAGAAAAAACACACACACATGTTGATCCCATGCGTTACCACAGCCACAACTTACTCTTCTGTCTCCTTCTCAGGCTCCACTGCTGCAAAAAACACATCCACCTAAAAGAAACCGTGGAAGCTCCTTCAGCTCGCTCATACTCTTTGCTTCAGACTGACATGCACTTGGCTGGCTGTCCTCACACACACACGCTCGATCCTCCTCCTCACACACTCACACTCACACACACGCCTTGCTGCACTGCACTGCACGTTCATGCGTCGTATCTTATCCCATCACTGCTGTGTGTGTGAGCACAAGCGAGGGAAGACTGCGCAGGCTGTGACGGTGGTCGAGAGAGGGAGGGAGGGAGGAGACAGGGAGAGGAAGGAAGGGAGGGAGAGAGAAAGAGGGAGAGAGGGAGATACACCTTCCCCTTTTTGGTTCTGAAACACGAGCACACTGCTCAGCGCTGCAGTATCGAGAAACAGTGTGTGGGTATGCAAACTGCTGTTTCTGGCATGAGTATGGCAGAGGGAAACAACATTCCTCAGCTCACACACACACAGACACACACACACACACAAACACCTCCCTCAAGGTCTAGTGTAGGAGGGGATAGTCAGTCCCATGTCTGTTTACAGAGAGCTGGTGCGTGTGTGTCTGCCAGGTAACCTTCCCCTGGTCAGGGTCCACCCTCCACCCCCAAAAACGTAGGAGGGACCAGTGCTGATCGGTCCAAAAGGGTTGGCTGTTCCTAAGCTGCACTGGGCCCCCTGCCTGTTACTGGCTGCAGGAGTCTGAGGGGTAAACAGAAAGGGAGGTTTTGGACTGGAGAAGAAAGGGGGAAATAAGAGTACTGGAAAAGTAACCCATGTAATGTGATGGAGAGGACGGAGGGAGGAGTAGAAAAGGAACTGGTGAACCAATGACAGGAACAGTCCAAGTTAGATTACAAATTGGTCATGTATATGTGCTGCCAACAGACTGAGTAATAACAAGCCAACCAGTGGATTAGCAAAGGCCTCGACCCAAGCTCTACACTGCTACTGCTGGTCTTTATTACATCAATAATGACTGCGTATATTCTTACAACAATCTCTAGCTAAAATGTCGTCACTTTGACGGTCTAAAACTCAGAGGAAACACACACACACACACACACACACACACACACAGGCCCTGATTCCTGTACTAATTCTGTCACTCTAATAGGGTGAGGAGCTGTCAGGAGAGCCCGTTCTGCAGAAAAGAGGTCCATTTTTTGTCTTTTTGACCTTTGACAAGTCGGTTCATGCAGGCTGTGAGCATTTAGTTGGCATGGTTGTAAACTAACATTATGAAACAAAGCAAGAATTTACTAAAGCAACAATAAATAAAATGTTTATTTTTGTTGTTTTAATACATAATGGTGAGTATTTTGGTTCTAAATGAAAAATGTGGGTTCTTAAATTTAGGGTGATCATGATCATTACAGGCCTCCATCCGTCTCCCAAGAGGCTGGGTCCCAGAAAGCTTTCCACTGTTTACCCGGCCCTGGTTCGAGATAGGGCCTTTCACGCTTTTCTCAAGTGTCGCAGCCACCAGTTTCTCCTACACGCTTGGAAGGAGAGTGGCACTAAATCCTCCACGCTGGTCCTTTCCGAAAAAAATTGAGAGCAAGGCAAAAACATACAACCTAAACCCTGGCCATCTGATTCATTTCTAGTTTATAAAGAGTAAAAATAAGCTTGCGAATTACCCAATGCTTGAAGTTTTTCCGTCTTTGTAGGTAAAAAGTGACAGCAACAGCCTCCACCACTGAGCAGTTCAGTTTCAGTGTGGGGGGTGGAGGAGTTGCTAGAGTCTTGAAACTCCAGAGGGTGAAGAGCTTTTGTTCCAAACCAGGGTGCAGGCTGAATAGTGAGCAATAAAAGCCGTAAATTCTCTGGAAAAGTTATGGTTGAGTCATTGCTATTGATCAGCAAACAAATCATGGGACATAATGACCCACACCCAGACAATAATGAGATCCAGGTTGTAAAGCAAAAAGGATTTGCTTGAACAACACCGTTTGCATCACACTGCAATAAATTCCTAAAGTGGCAGTAGATCACCAGCTTACATGACAACACGTCCATACTGATAGCCAAACTGTGACTCAATACACTGATTGCATAATTCAAATGGGCACCCACACCCCACCGAGACCCTGCAGCAAAAACTCCCCTTTGAAAATAACTGTGTCCATCATGAGTGACTGAGCAATCCACTGGCCCAGTAAAGCTAATAAGATGGCTTCATGTCATTCCTCCTGACCTGACAGTGAGAGACACAGACTAAACAATGATGTTAACACTGGCTGCACAAACGTCATTTCTCCTGTTCATAAAAGGTGACTGTGTAGTGATGCAGTAGTATCACCAACATCAGCTGATGATAACAACTCATCCTAAATGACTTCTTAAACCACGTTTATATATACATACACAAATACACACACACACACACACACACACACACACAGTAGAGCTAATGCCAGTGCTGCCTCACTTTTTTTTTTATTTGAACAATACATAAGTGTTACCAGCAAAATGTACTCAAAGTGCACATCCCATGCCAATCTGTAATGTTTTCAGTCAGGATGCTTTCTATTGCTCCTTAGTTCTTTTATAAGTAAAAGAGATTTTCAAAATCTCAAGAGAACAATTTGCACACACAAGTTATCGTGTGCAACATGATGGGGGGGGGTCAGTTTTCCAACCTGATCATGGAAGCCCCACAGAGTCTGTAGACAAAAACAGCTCATTCTAAGGCAACAAAAAGATTCCTATGATACACTAATAATAAATAGATAAAAACATACCATATTCCATTTTTGCCAAAGAACCAAATATTTTTCTCTGGAGTTGGTGAAGATCATAACTGATTTTAACAGAGAGAGAGAGAGTCTGGCTAGCATAAAAGGGCAACACATAGTGGCCCAAACCAGCCTTAATAATGTTATTTCTCTGCTGGAGGTGGGGTGATTTAAACATTACCTGTGCTGGTCAGTGTTGAACCTCATTGCAAGTCATTTCCCACCCCTACCTAATGAAAAAATGGTCTGTAATGTCAGCTACAGGCCTCATAGGCGTGTGGCTCTCTCTGACAGAAAGTTCATGGTTAGCTGTCTTTTCTAAAGACCTTCTAAAGTAAGAAGGCTTACTCCTTCATAAAGTACCGCGCAACAAAAATGCTGTTCATGGGCTCCATGGTGTTGAAAGGTGCACTCGGTAGGTGTGCTAAGCCCTGTAATACCTAATCAAAATAACATTATGGTCAAGTGAAATATGCATATAGCAATTTTGGCAAATTGGCACCATTACAGCAAGTATGCACAATTAATGGAAATATTATCAAAATCGCAAAAAGGTAAAAGCATTATAATTAACTACTGCTGTGCTTCAGAGATTCCCTGGCCTACAACTCCTGTTCTCCAGATTTAAGAAAACATGTTTGTTTGTTACAGACCCTAACAAATCATCAAGGTTTCTTTTTTTTTTTTTCAGTGAAAATTAAAATTGTGATGTAAAAATGATCATTGCCACACTAACAGTGAATCATATTTCAATGTCGGTCAAAATAATCGCAATGTAATGTTTTTACCATATCACAGCAGGCCTAATACTGTGGCTGTGGCTCAGAGGTAGAGCAGGTCATCCACTAATCTGAAGGTTGGCAGTTCGATCCCCGACTCCTCTCGTCGAAGGAGTGGACGTGTCCTGAACTCCAAATTGCTCCAAATTTATGTGACAGGTATGAGTGTGTATTTCGATTTTAAATCGAAATCGATCGAAATTACATCTCAATCTCAAACT